CAGTGCCAGAAACATCTGAAGGGCACAGCCCCCAAATGAGATAGAGTTGTCTTTAAGCAGAAAATCCATGACAGCCTTTGGAGTAATAACTGATGTGAGGAGGAGATCCATGAGAGAGAGCTGCCAGAGCAGAAGATACATGGGCACGTGGAGCTGGGCATCCATGGTGATGACCAGCAGCAGCAGTCCATTGCTGGTCAAGGCTAAGAAGTACAGGGCTGTGATAGTGGTGCAGAGCAGTTCTGCAAAACTACTGTCATCCAGAATACCTACCAAGATGAAGCCACTTTTCAAGGTGTAATTGCAGAATTCCATTCTGTGTGATCTTTAGTTGCCTAGAAAATATATGGCTAGTGAAGTTTTATTAATATGAACCCAGTTTGCCAATTGTCATGTCCAATAGCACTTTATGCTACCCCATGTGACTCTTACAACATGGGATTTTCAAAAAAGCTTTACCTCTCTCTCTGTGTCTGTCTGTCTGTCCCTCTGTCCATCTCTTTGTCCTCATCTTTGTCTCTTTCTTACTTGCATCACCGCAAAGATCCATCTATGTACAGAATAAGTAGTATAAGCATTAGGATGTCACCTCACAAAATACTACCCAGGATACTAAACCTGGCATATCTTTCCAGAAAGTTTTAGGTCTTTCTTAAGATCAAAGAAATATCCTAACATATGTCATTGTAGTATAATACTTAGGAAATGGTTTTAAATATTTTAGTCATTTGCTGAACAGAAATACTTTGAATATAAAACTCTAAAGTGATTTCAAGAAGTACTACTATGGGTTTTTTCACATTTGTATTTTTAGGGATTTATGTTTTTAATTATGTATATGAGGCTAGAGAAACGATCATCTATTTGAAACTAGGCTTCTACAAATCATACAGCATGACATATGTGCATTAGCATTTCATTAGATTACTTTGGCCTCTTTATGGGCCATTAGTAACGTAACAGTTAATGGTTTGAAAATATTAAACAAATATCTTTTTGCATTGGATGACTTTTTAGGAGCTTTCATCATTATCCAAAATCAGCAACATCTACAAAGTCTAAAGACCTATGTTAAGATTTCTACAAGAGAGGAAGTACCCAGGTCTAGATTATAATACAGAATCTCCATCAATTCCAGTTGATCTTCTTCCATGTTTTAGGATTAAATAATACATTTTTAGTAAACTGTGTTCTTTCAACAATTTCATACATGTCCGTGATTTATTAGACTCACCATCTACCCTCCTCAGACTCTCAAAGCCTTCTATCCTTGCAAATATTTTTTAAAAAAAGCGAAAAGGAGACCAAGATATATAATTCCATAACTTCTGTTAAAAGCATTTGCTTATAACTCTATTTCATTTATTGGCTCAACGAATTCATTTTAAAAAAAAGACATATTCTTACCTCTGGTTCTAAGAAACCTAGCTTCCTGACCACCTCAGCTTCCCTTGGGTTGCTTAAAGCCTGAAGATGCTTCACTACAGTTGAGGAGATAAGATGTAGTTTACCTTGACAGTAGTTAATTGGTTTGTTTTGTTAACTTGCTGCAGTGTGTCAGGGTTCTGTGCAATATCAGGTGTCAGGGCGGTTGTATTCCTTCCTCTCACCTGCAAGTGTGCTCTGTAGATGGAAGTGGTTGCAGACAGGCAGCTTATATGTTTTCAGCAGTTTCCTATGAAGTAAGTTGATGGTTTTCCTATTATCAGATACGAACGGAAGCAGTAGAAACTGCTTCCCCTTTGCTTGTAGTATAAGGGGGTCCCACTAGCTTTTTGTCATTTTCCAGGAAGCTCTTGTATCTGAATATACCACTGCTTCCAAATATAGAAAGAGATAAAAGATGCATGGAATAAATAGAAATTAGAACAGCTGCCCAAGCCCCATGCTGACTCACTTGAATGTCCCTGGGGTGAGTAGTAAGCTAGGACCTTATACAGGAACAGGCTACTTTGTCTTCTAATTTCATGACTTCTCTTCTTTTCTTTGTGCATAGCTTCAGAAGGACTCATTTCTCAACTTAAAAAGTCTAGCTTGGAAATGCTGGTCTAAGAAATTGAAAATTAGGGAATCCTCTTGGGCTTTTCTTGGCTTGCTTTTTCTGATGTCTTCTGTCACTTAATGATATTTAAGACCTTAGGTTTATTCATCTCTGAAATTTAGGGTCCAACTCTCTTAGGCTTCAAAGTGCTGAGATTGTAGGAATTTGTTAC